GTCCCCGCCCCATCCCCGCCCCATTACCATAATTATGCAGATTCGATATCTCTATATGAATCCATACATATGCTAGTCATTATCATATTACTTCAACCTTAAACCCGAAATAATATTTAACTAGGGACATTTAGAATACATTATTCTAAGGTTATTTATTATGAATAATTAAAACACAGAATATAATATATACATAATAAAATGGGCAATGCCTTTATATTTATCAATTTCATGAAACAAACTCAAAGTTACAATCATCATATGATTGGTTTTTGGGCATTCACTAACAAGTTTGGGCTACTCTTTGTCTAGCTTGGGGTCATCGGGACAGTGTGTTTTTTCACGGCAAGTTGCTTTTTAAAGAAGCTTTATTTACATAAATAAGAGTTCGAGTGGTTTTCAAGACGACCGCACAAGGGGTCTTTGAGTTGGGAGCAATGAATCGTTGAGCCGCATCATATTTCTCCCATCTCATAATTTAGTAAGGCTCTCCTTTCCGTTGTTTCGAGTTTGGTTCGCTTTGTGTTACTTGTTTGTTTTCTCTTTGTTAGCTACCGGTTTTGATTTGTTTCTTTTTCCTTTTAACCTCTGCACCTCGCAGTGCCTTGTTTTGTATTTCCTTGGATTTTATTGTTGTGTGACTTTTAAAAAAACTTAAATCATTCTGCACCAAATAATTCCATAAAGAACCCCTTCAATTCTTCTAATATGCACTTTTGGTTCTCTAAGCTTCAAAACTAGAGGTGAATTCCAATCATAATCTATATATTCTACCCACCAAAACAGTACTAAAAATTAACTATAGTCTATAGTTACAATTCACATTTTACTTGCATTTGTTTTGGTCTTAACTTCATAATTAATGATCGTTTACCGGTAGTTTGTTTCCAACAACTTTCACGAAACACCGATTGTGACACATACGACGAGAAGATGAATATTTGAATGGAGACTTTTCAACCAACCTAAGGTACCACAACAAACAATAAGCAAAAGTTCAGGGACTAAACATGCATATACATGCTGGAGGAAAACGACTCAAAACATATATGAATGAGTTGCAGGTTTTATTTTATGTATTTTTTTCATCCTTATCATCAAAGGCATTGTTTTCTTGTTGTATTTGCAAACGTGACAAATATGATGATGCCACATGTTTTTGACTTTTTTATATATCTATTTTGGATTACTTGGTGAGATCATCAACAGCTCTAGATATATATAAAAAAATATATATATATATATATATATACACACGTTGTTTGGATTAGCCACGTCCACTGATTGATTGATTGATGATAATATTATATATTACAAGCTAGGACTGATTCAATTCCTCCATTTTCATGGTCTCTAGTTGATCATCTTTAGAGCATAAGAAAAGAAACCCATTTTGGTTTTCTTTTGATCAAATTAATGAAGCTTTCCGATTCATAAAAACTGATAAGTTTTCAGTTGTATTTAATCTGATTCAAGTCACTGCATATATATGAACATTTGTTTCATGATTACATGATGTTTAACATATATCTAGTAACCAAGCACTTGGAATCTCTTTACAATAACCAAAACAACAAACAAATTCAACGATTAAACCATCTATATATATATATATATATGTATGTATGTATATATAGAGAGAGATAGAGAGAGGTTTAGTGGTAGTCGATACTTTTATTAGAATGGCCGAATCCGTTTGCAAGTGCATGGACTGTTGGATTGAAGGCCAGTCTTCCCAGAATACCTTGTTTATACGGCAAGAATGTCTTCTTCTTCATGTCGTTTGAGACTGCACGGTTCACTGTGTAATGTAACTCGTGAGCCGATACCCGTCCTCTTCTCTTTGACCCGGATCCAGACCCGGATCTGTCTGATCGCATACTTGAGTTTCTCAAATCTTCATCATGCTTTCTAAAAATGGCCGAATATTTCTTCAAAGGGTCCCTATCCATGGCTCGCCCATCTGAAGCACTTCTGAACAAGAACAGGTCCTTGAAGCTCCATTTTTTCGACCCTTTTCCCGATCCAGAAGCCGAAAGAGTGGTACAGCTTGAAGATGATGAAGATGGAGGTATCATGTTTGCAGCCACCGGTGCTTGATCTAAACCCCTAATCACCGGCGGAAGGGATCGTGTTCTTCTACTTCTTGATGAAGATAAACCTGCAGATGAAGAAGAAGAAGAAGAAGAACCTCTCTCTCTTCCCCTTTCTCTCTCTCCCATGGAGGTTTTCATCTTCTCCACAGACTTGATGATCACCCCACCATGAAACAAATCTTCAGCCGCCGATGAATCTCTTTTTAACTCTCCACTAACATCAAATGCAAAATCATATACTGATTTTGGAACACCAGGCTTTTCTTCCCACGCGAAAGGAACAGTTGCAAGAGAATTGCCTCCATGGTTGTCTTCTTCAGATATGAGGAACTCATCATCAAACTCATCATGATGTATCTCGGTTGTTTTTGTAGGGCTGGGAGGAGCACTGAAGTAGCAATCACCGGCCGCCATGAACTTAGGAGTCATGGGTGCAGTTGCATATGCAGAAGAAGTGAAGTCGAAATCCATGGGATTTACATGAGGTATCACAACCTCCATAGCCTGATTGAGTTGAGTTGAGAACACTTGAGTTATGGAGAAAGGGGTTAATTTATAAAAGAAAAAATGAAGGGGAAGGAGGGTGGAAGGTGTATGAAGTTGACTCCAATCGCAAGTCCAAATTGCCGCCTTCTTGCTTACTTCTTCTGGAATAACGTTTGTCATATGTCGTATGCAACTTGTTTGGACATAGATTAAGACAAAATTAAACGTTTCAAAAACCTATGATGATGGATTCTACTGTCACCTAGATTTGTAATTTTTACTATTCTAAAAGCTGTTTTAGAAAATAATCTAGGGATTCCATAAATTATTCTTATGGTAGCATTGGAGTCAAGATATACTACTTTGATGACTCGATACTTTAGGACAAATACTTTAGGACAATTTATACTCGTCTAGCCCATTCCCTTATTTAACCCCCTCTTGACACTTTGGACAATTTGTATCCGTCTAGCTTCTGTTGGAGAGGGCATGTTAGAGTCCGATATTTACTAGTTAGTTTATAAGACATTCCTAATCTTTAAGCGTCCCAATAGACGGCTTTATAGGACTTAATTTATAGAACCAAAATATAAAGCGTCTTATTTAAAGGTGTTGTAATAAGTTTATATGACACTTTTGGACGTCTTAACAAGTTTTTTAGGACATTTTCAATATAAAGTGTTGCATTAGCAACTTTATAGGACACTTTTGATAAAGGGTCCTATAAACTCATTTTTTTTTGTAGGACACTTGTTTTTATAGGACAGTTTTTCAAATAGTGTTCTATAAAGTTGCTAATGAGACGTTTTGTATTAAAAGTGTCCTAAAAAACTTATTACGACGTCAAAAAACGTCATATAAATTTATTACAATACCTTTAGATATGACACTTTATTTTTTTGGTCCTATAAATTAAGTCATATAAAGAGGTCTATTAGGACGCTTAAAAATTGTGAGTGTCCTATAAACCCGATTTTGTTTTAGTGTAAACTTGAGTCAGTTTTCCACTATATATGTTGGAACATCATTTCTCGATGATGCTTTTAAGGAGTAATTTGATGGTATTTCACATTATCCCATGGACCAACTTCATATTTTGAAGATAGGAAATGAAAACAAAATTGGTTTCATTAATTTCTTTTTGTAAAATGGGAAATTTAGTTTCTTAATATTAAGGTTTTGAGAATTGGTTATCTAAAACAAAACCAACGTTAAAAACCTAATTAATACTCGTTTGGCTATTTCGCACAAAGAAAGCAATTTAAATACCGAAAATGAGAAGTACGACTGCATGCGAAAGCAATCGAGGTTAGAGACTATACCCAGTCAATGATATCGGTATTTCATTAGAACCACATATATAGCCACCATATGTGACTTGTATACAAACATTAGTCCCATTTTGCAATTTACATGATCAACATGAGTTGCAAGTTGATTGAGATATCGTTTTTATTCCAAAATGTTATATTGTTATATATAATTAAATGTCTCACTTCAAGTTTAAACCTCTGTCTATGATCGGGCCTGAAAGGGATTCTTCAATAGTAACATAATCCAAAACTAACTCGACCAAAGAATCGTTCAAAATATGAATATTCATTGGGGTTTTTTCGGGATTTTTTTTTCACTATTTTACCACTTTAACTAGTTGTACAAGTCATAAGAATGTATCCAACATGTTTTATAAAAGTTCAAAAAGTTATTTAACATGTTTTGGATTGTTCAAGGACTTATTTGTTCCAAAAATTGTCCAAGGACTTATTTAACATTTTTTGGAATG